GGGGGGGGGGGGGGGGGAAACGCACCCCCGGCCTCTCCTTGCTTCTCACACAACTCAACGTTGGCTCCTTTGCGCGCGCACACACCCTGATGGAGGGAGGAGGACATGCAGCCTGGGCACTCCCAGATTTCCATCTCTGCCAGAGCAAGTCCCATTGATCTGGCTGCCCTTGCCTGTCTCCCCCCCCTCCCCCCCACATTTAAACCTTATGCACCCAGTGCATGCCTACCTGGAGTGCAGGAGGAGGCCAGGCAGCGAGGTGAACTGGAGGGGAAGAGCCAGGACCTCAGGGTGAGCAGTACCTCGAACCAAACCAAGCCCTCATCAACCAGCCCCCAGCCAGCAACGACAAGCCCGGGCTGGCCCCAGCAATGCACACAGCAATACGCCCTGAGACGGGGAAGAGGCTGGAAGGGCAGGCTGAGCCGCAGGTGAGCCACTCCAGCTCCCCTTCCCCCGCCCAGCAAGAGTGAGGTTCCAGAGAGTCCGGGCCACCCACAGCTCGGCCTGCCCGTCTAGCCTCTTCCACGTGGGAGAAAGCGGCTGCCGGGAAACGAAACAGTCCAAGCGATCCCACGCTGCCAGGTGAGCTGGCCGGGCAGCGCAGCATGCTTCCCCCCCGGTGGCCCCTCCCCTTCCCGGGGCCCAGTTCAGGCCCTATCGTAGGCCCACCGGGGAGGGGGAGGGAGGGCCAGGTTTTCCTGCTGTTGCTGCTGCCTGGCCGTGGGTGAGTCACGACCCCCAATTCCCAAGGCTGCATCCACGCAGCCTTCTTCTGGCGCACCAGCATCAGGGGGGCAGCCGGTGCTCAGTGAGGGGGAGCCGCCCCTGCTGTCTGGCCTCGGCTGCTGGGAGGGAAGCCGGCTGCCACCCAGAGCCATGCAAGGCGGCGGGCCAGCAGCCAAGCCGGGTGCCCCTGGGCTGAGGTGAAAATCCGTAGGCTGCCGCCTAAGAATCAGTGTGCCCAGCACATAAACCGCACCTTAGAGGGAACACTGCTGGGGACATAATTTAAGGTTCAAAGTGTTCATTGTATCTGGGAGTAGCAATGGTCTAGGAAGTACTTCATATTCATAGCCAGTAACACCTAATATTGCGTTTTTTGCATTTATCTCGGTTTCCTGGGAACTGACCAGATTCAAGTTTCTGTCCCAATAAAGCTTAGTGATGAGTCCATCAATGGTAAGACAGGCCAACTAGAGCCCTTCCTGGGACAGTAGGAATTCAGCACCATCCTGGGCAGTTCACTTGCTTTGGTCCTTTCCAGGGGGCTGAGTAAACCGATCCAGGAAGGGGGAGTAACAAACATCCAGACCCTGAAGAGATGGAGAAATACTCTTTCTCCCCTTCCCCTCTGACTGGTAAATAAAGCAGCTGTTTTCTTCACACATGACCTCAACACAGGCTCCAGTCATCCTCCTCGCTCACAGTAAGTACTTTGAAGTGCAAACCTCAGTAGTTCTGGGGGGGAAATCAGTTTAACCTCACTTAATTACGCTTCTGAGTAGGATGTGCAAAGACCTATGTCACCATCAAGAGTTATTACCTGGATGAGCTTGCCGGCAAATTGGTTCACTTCGTTCACTCTCTCTTCGTGGGCTGCCAAGTCTGTCTGGAACTCCTCAAATTTCTTCTGCAAAACCTCAACATGCTCCAGGTCCTGGCCGAGCTCTTCTGATGTCACTATCGCCTCCTGGCAAGAACAACAACAACCCACCCGTTTCAAATACACCAGGATGCCGAGATGTTATCAGAACGAGGAATGCTGGGTCCCATCTTTGCAACTGTTATCTGAGCATGTTTTAATAAAGCAAAAGAAAAGCCTTTCCGCTGGAATTCAATACAAGAACATTGAAAGAATAGAAGAATCCCCTTGGACACTGCAGAAGACATCTTTGTAGGACAAAATCTTAGCTCTGGTATTTTGAAGTCTACTTGGCCACAGAGCCTTGGCATCTTAAAAGCAACGTGTGCCCTATGCACAACTGTGCTGTGGTTTTTCACCAATGGCAGGGAGCTTAAACTGACACTCCACTGTTGCACTGTACACACACTCTAAAAGCAATCCCAGCCTTGCTTTCCTGTACTAGTATGCCAAGCGGCTCTTTTTCATTCACCCATTTTTACCTTAGCTCACCTTTTTTAAATGCTTCCCCTAACATTTCCCAGTGAGGCTATAATGATCTAACAATGCTTATTCACTGCAAAGAATGATCAACTGTAACTTAAAAATGATTTTACAGTGCTACTTTTGTGCCACAATGAAAACTATTACAGATGTTTGCGGTGCCTTTTCCCCTAAACCCAAGCCCTATTTCCCTCAAGCCAATAGGATACCAAGGAGTTACATTATCCTAGTGAGTGATCTTCGCCACAACGCAGATACCTTGTCATTGATCCAATCCATCACGTCTTCACATTCCCGTAAATACTGCACAAGCTTCTGAGCTTGCAGGAGTTTGACTCCCTTCTCCCTCATTTTCTCCAACAGCAACTCCCAGAGGCGGTGAAGTTCTTGCAGTCGAGTCTATGATTTTTTTTTATTTTAAAGAAAAACACAATGAACAGCTATGCATGGAAGACATTACACCACGGTTACTATTGGATTTGGTTTTGTAGGTTCAAGCTTTATGTAGTTATATTGTATAAGGTAACTCATTTCAAGGTCTTTCAGCTCTCTATGGTCTTTCTATATCTATGTGTGTATGAAATGTAAAATATATACATATCCCTGACCTGTGTTCCCTCTAAGCTGAGTTGTGTGTGTATGAAATGTAAAATATATACACATCCCTGACCTGTGTTCCCTCTAGCTGAGTTAGCGTGTGCTAGCTCACAGTTTTTTAGCCTCCAGCTCACAGATTTTTGTTTTAGCTCAGGAAGGATGGCTGCCGAGCAAACTAATTCATGCAGCAGCCAAATCGCTTGCTCACAACTTTAATGCCAGGAGCTCAGAAAGTAGATTTTTTGCTCACAAAACTCCACAGCTTAGAGGGAACATTGATCCCTACCGACTGTGGGCAAAACATGTTACTAGTCCATGAAAGCCATAATCATTATCCGTTAGGATGCCGTAAGGCACACTCTTTTTTTCTTTTTGTTTGCTGAAAGAGACTAAGATAGCTGTCTTTCTGGAATTTGTCAGAGACTGTCAGTCCAGTTCAACACAATCAGTTAAACGAAGTCATCTGCTGCAACGCTATACACTTCGGAAGTCTCTCTCTCAAGCAGACCCAACAGCGTCACACTCTTCAAAAGGGGTTAGCGTTGCTCACAGTGACAGGGACAAGCCACCCTCTGTCTTCCATAAGATTTCTCTGCAGCACTGATGAGCAAACAAGGATTTTAACTAGAATCTTGGGTATCCAAACGCCAATCCCCTGCATCAGCTGCCTCTCATATGATCATGCTTCTTTCTTCTGATCAAGACTAATGGTTTATGCCAAAATGTATGCACAGAAATTACTGTACAAAACCTGATTTAAAACACTGTCTCTCAAAGAACAAAATCAAAGACAAACCTCACAAAGCTATCTGTGAGGTTTGTAACATAGCGTGAAATGAACTCTGTAGGATGCTGCTATATGAGCAGATTTAACAATACAGTTTTTGCATCCACTTTGCTTGTGTTGAGTTATACGTAAACCTTAACAGGTAGAAAAAATGATCAATGTTTATTTAATGGCTGCACAACTAAAATGTTACAATACAACAACTGTATTGTACACAGCCTGGGCAAAATTACTGGAAGAATCTAGAAGAGCTGCTGACAAAGAGAAAATTTTAAATTTAAAGAAGACAACATCAAGCACACACTTGAAAAACAGGGCAAGATCTGCTCCACCCAGCATTCACTGTGCTGTGATCATCAATAAAGGCAACTGGAAAGCATACCTTATCAAATCATATGGAAAGCATAACCAATTCAGCTGTGAGTTTTTAAAAGGGAAAGGAAACAGCTCACACTGCTGGAGATTATAACAATCACAGGGGCAGACCTACATGTTACAAGAACAACGAGGCTGCTGCCAAAAATGGCATCCTGGCATCAAGTTTCCCGCTGGGTGATGTGTAGTAAAAGTCACCCAGTGTGCTGACCATCACCACATGTATTTCCCTA